AAAAAGGTGACCAGAGTATTAAAGGAAGAAGACTATAATTGAAGATTTTGGAGAAGATGCATATAACTTAACCAGAAGAAGAAGAAGAGTAAACAAGTTAATTTAAACATATAATCGAGAGGGATGATAAATATGAATAATTGTACAGTAAGGCTACATATTTTGACTTTTTTCATTGAGGCTGATATGGAGAGATAGCTTAGATAGTATAGTGAAGTTGATATGACACTTTTTGATAATTAAGACAGAAATAAATGATAGTTTCCATTTAAGAGGTTGCTCTGAAAATTGATTCGACATCTGAGATCAATTTTGACCTAAATTCGCATAGTCATATTGATGGAATGGAACTTTATGCCAAATTTCTAAGAGATAACGAATAACTACATACACCCAAAAATCAGCTGGTTTTGTAAATGGACTCGGAACACAAGTTAATATAGGGAGACTTTTTTTGTCTCTCAAAAGAAGAGGCAACCAAAATATGCTACATTTTAGAACACAACACTCAACTCAATGAACAGAGAAATACTATATGAAATGCTGAAATTCAGAGAAGCATTACCCAAGAGCATAGATTTCTCAATTTATATGATAACTTATGTCTCTATAATCCAATAATCAAGGAAAAAATCCGATTAAAAAATGGAGTATGATTAGGATCAACTTTAAGCCCTGCCTCCATCACATATTTTTTAACAACTTTACAGCTTTGGTTAAACAGGGATTTAAAGAATTTGCAATTAAAACTAATCCTAAGCATAATTTGATGACATCTTGAGAATGCCGACGATTTTGCGCTCATAGAGAATCAGAATTGTATTGAGTTCTATACGCAAATATTCCTAAAATAAACAGAAGAGCATTGATTGAAAGTCTTCTTCAATAAAATAAGTAATTGTCAAAATTGGAATCAAAAATTTAGAAAATATGGGAGTCAATGGACTGGATAAATTCAATATTTAAGATCTGGAAAACTATATATGATAAACCCTTTAGAATTAAACGCAATCAGCCAAAAGGATGGCGATACAAAATTTAGCCTAGCTTGCAATCTTCAAAGGAATACTAACCTTTTGAATACAAATTATTACTTTTTAATATTTTCAATACATCCATAATTCTACTTCTCACATATTACTTGCTGTTAAATAGAAAATGACAAACCTTGATTATCATTTTGCAATCTACTTTAAATGTTAGAATTTCTACTACAAAATTTTGAGAACCTTGATTTTCCTTTGCTTGATGATTTTATGTAATTTTTAAAGAGAATATATGACTGAATTTTAAAGAAGTTACAAATAGGATGAAGATGTATTTTTTTAATATATTGCTATTCTTTGGTTTAATTAAATTACATTTATATAATAATTCTTGTAACTATAGAAGTGATGGGCAAGATCCCAATATTTACATCATAAGAAAATCTTTTTTAATGAAAACAAAGCTTAATTGTCCTAACCAAGGCTGGTTCTTTCAATCAAACATATCTAATTCCATGAATTCAAACTAATACTATCTACTGTGAGCGAGGGTTGATCTCGCTTCACTAATGATTGACATTTAGAAGTTTAAGCTGATTGAAGTTGAAATTATTTTTGGATGGTGACTATAAAGATTAATGGATTTAGGTTGTAGAATCAACCCTATCCAGAATGGATCCGAAGACTTTATGGCGTAATATGATTTATACTATGATATCCATATATGGATTTGAGAAAAGCCTGTCTAGTCCAGGCTTAAGATAAATCGATAGTACATCATTAAAGATATAAAAGGATATCAATTTTTCAGGAACAGCAAACTTTATATACACAAATCAAATATTTAGGAAGAAAGACTGGAGTTTTGTGGAAGGATAGTCTTAAAGAAAATATTTAAGAGGTAGAGCTTCTTTTGTTTAATTTATAAAAAGAAATGATAATCCATATCATTTATTAATTAAACAGGGGTAAAATCAAAATATGATTAAGATTTTTTCGTCTTTTAGCAGGGAATTATGAGAAATGAATATTTATAAATTGAGAATGGTATTTTGAGATGATCGTTTGAACAAACAAATCAATTGCGTAAGTTAAGGGGAAGGATATTCATTTACTATATTAATTGAAGTGTAATGATGATTAATTAAACAGAAAAAAAAAAACATTCTTGATAATTGTTAACTTACTCAAATTCAGCAAAAACCTTATTATAGCCCAGGTCAAACTGCAATAGTTTTGAAAGAATTAAGAGATTATTTCAATCTACTTGAGTCAAACTTAAATTTGAGAGAGTCAACTCATGCTTATAATAATTATTCCTCAATTAAACCAATAAAGCCTTAAACAATATGGTCATCTTTTCTATTTTACAAATCCAGTTATTCTAATCTCTTGTATTCAACTTAATTTCTTGAATATTGTATCCGAGGACCCTTTACATTATATAACAGAGTTCGAATAAAATGTATCCTCAAGAAATATCAAAAGTGAGTTCAGCCATTAAATTGATTTCTGTAATTTTGTATTATTGGAATAAAATTAATTGAAAGAGAGGTGTTTATCTTTCTGAACCTAATTTGAATAAGTAGCTTTGGCTAATTATAATAACTTAAATTTATTTTCCATTATCATGCTTGCTCAGACATACGAGTAGAGTATCTAAATTCTCCCAAGGTTAACTGCTCATTGATGTGGATTGAAAAACGAACCTTAATTACTAATTATAAGTTAGTCTAGAAATAAAGAAGAAATAACAATGAGTCTAATCCTAATAGGAGATTCATTCAGTAACGATCATTGAATCAGTTTATTTATTGTTATGTTATGCAAGATTTGCTAATATAGAATTTATCAATAATTAATTATTGCAATTGAAACAGTCAATAATATTCTCATCAACTGGGTTCAAATGCTGTATTACTTAAGGTTCATTATTTATGTATAATTGTACCAAAAAGGATTTAAATCAATTATAAAAAGCTTTGTATCCTATGGACAAAAACTATTCCGAATTTTAAATAATTCAAGTATTTCAATATTAATATAATAATCAATTATTAAACATTGTTCCTTTATATATTTAAAGGACTTCAAATTGAAATTATTTAAGTCGAGATTTTAAATAAAGATTATTAATTAACAAAAAGTCAAAAAACTTATGTTTTTCATAATTTGTATTAGCTAAATGCAAGAAACATCATAATAAAATGATTTATATATCTAATGTCAATTCTGTAATTAAGGTGACTATTAATAAATTAATGATAATTTTTGAAGTTTTCCTTCTGACATTTCTTATTGAGTTATGTAATTTGGAGAATTAGGAAATTCATGAGAGTCTATATTTGAAAGGAAAATCTTCCAATGTAGGAGATTGAATCTTTTGCACAGAATTTGATCAAGTGATTGTGTTTTTTTGTAAATTAAATTAATCAAAGCAATTATGAGTGGTTTTAGAAAAAATATAAAATTAAAACTAATTGATACAATTAATTTTAGAAATTGATGAAGAATGTCAGAGAGTTGTAATTTTATTGGAAGATTCATAACGTAATTTATCTATGGT